AGCAATATTTTCTATTTTTAATTCATTCAAGTATGTATCACTGGAATGAATTAATAGTAGAGAATATTCTCCTGTTCCACTGAGTAATCAAATATCTCAGTATTTGGGCTGACCAATAAAATTAATTATCTTTGAATGTGAAGTTGCTATTAGGTGTCCATCAGAAGAGCTTTCTCTTGATATCCCAGATTCTGGGATTGCAGTACACAATCTGATGTTGGCTTCCCTGAACTACCCTACATACTTCTGTGTCCCAATTCATACTCTTTTACAAGTACTAAAATGTAAGATTCACCTTGCAAACCACCTGTTGTTCTCTGTACAATTTCACTGTAGTTGTGGGACATATTAAGAATATACAATTAATAGTTGTCAATATTGACCCTATAAAACCTTTTCCTTATTTTCCAAAGCTTCTAAAACTTGAATCTCTAGAGGACTATGACCTATTGATGCAGATTCCAAAGCTAAATGCTTACTCATTCTTTGCTACAATGATACATTTCTCATAATATAATAAGAAGATTTAAATGCTGTAAGTGATATGTTGTTCTTGTTTAGTATCGTTCAGTTGGTTCTGACTCATAGTGACTGTATATATGATATCTGAGGAAGAGCTGATAAGTTTGAACTGCTGACATTGACTTTCAAACAGAACTTGTGGCTTACCTGCTGATCCTACAGTGCCACCATGTTATTTTATTTTCTATTTTTTCAAATTCAACACATCAAACTTTAAATTTTGTAAGCCATCTAGAATTTCCATACATAGTTAATTCAAATATTAGTATAATTGTTTTCATACATGCAAGATATCAAAACATACCTGAATTGAGAAAACACAGACTTCCCTAAAGGCTGTTCATAAAATTAAAAACTATAATCTCTAAAATGTACAATTTCACTCATCTCCTACCTAGTTCAAAATATAAAAAACTTGCTCTTATACTCATCTGATATTTAACTTCTTCAAAAGAGAGTTCGTTATTTACTAAAAATTTGGGCTATGAATTGACATGGAATTTCCCAATACATACGTCATTACTCAGGCAATGATAAACCCTGGGAAAGCAAATCTTCTCCACTAATTATTATTTATTGTTGTTGTTTAGTGTCCTTGGGTCGGTTCCATCTCATAGTGACCCTGTATAGGGTTTCTGAAGTTTTAAATCATCATGGGAGCAGAAAGTCTCAACTTTCTTCAATGGAGCAGTTGGTGGGCTCAAACTGCTGACCTTGAGATTTGCAGTCCAGAATTGATAATATGGAGTCCCCACACTCCCTGGAAGAATTTTGTTGTTGCTGTTGTTAAGTGATGCCAAAATTTTTTTTTACTGTAGGATAAGCCCTCAACCCCGAGGTTGAGTTGAACCTCAAGGTCTTTGATTCAAACTCACCAGCTGGTCTTCAGCAACACTATACAGAATTGCTATGAGTTAAAAATGACTTAATGGCACTCAACAACAACAGCAATAACAATTTATCACAGGAAAACATAGAAATCCTAGGACTTAAAAAAAAATTGCAGGGACTGTGTTGGCAATTTTTCTAAAACAGCTTTCCCTCTTGTTTAGATACCTCAATTTTTTTTCTTTCCTTCTAAGTCTCCCCACAGAATTTGTGTATGACAGTATCATGACAATTGTTTGGCATCCTAAATAGTCTACTGAATTTTATTTATCATCTCACTTTAATTTGCTATTTCTGCCCCTTCTATTTTGTTGTTGTTGTATTTTTTGGTATATTTAAGGAGCATTAAATTCTTGGAATTTTAGGTCAGGATTATAATGGAATCAGATATTGTGTACCACAGTTTGTCTCTTGTCTGTTACACTTTGTCTCTCAACTCAGTAACTAATAGAGCAATAGGCAAAGATGCAAAACAAATGAAATTAATTTCTTATAAAAATTTACAGACCACATTTCCATTTAATGGGACACCATGCTCTTCAAACTTCTCCTGAAGTTGTTCAATATTTTTTTTCTTCCAAACTCACATGCTGTGAATTGTTACCTTCAGCTGATACTGAAATTCACAGCCAACATACTTTTAATCCAATCACATCCTTCCTACTCCTCGAGGAAACAGAACTTCTTGATTATTTAACTTTATAGAGATCAAAGTGACGAAGAGGGTGTTACTTAAAAGTATTCAACATTATGTTTATATTTAAACAGAATAGGACGTAGACAGATCTCAAAATTCATTCAGTTGATTAAAATCATTACATTTCATTTCTATACTCACTTTATTCTTGTTGTTAAGTGCCACTGAGTTGGTTCTGACTCATACAGGCCCTGTATTGAGTTTATGAGGCATACTGGTCAATTTGAAATGCCAACCTTGTGATCCAAACTCACCTTATGGTCAAGTGCATATCCTACATTATCTCTTCAGATATGTATTAACCACATATTATGGAAATAGTTTCTCTTGCTCCAAATTAATAAAGAATATATATAGGGTATAAGGAGCTCTTGTAGTGCAGTGGTTATAAGTCAGGCTGCCAAATTTAAGGTCAGCAGTTAGAAATTACCAGCAGTTCCACGGGAGAAAGATGAGGTGATCTGCTCCCATTAAGGTTTACAACCTCAGAAACCCTGAGCAGGGTTTAGCTATGTTGTTGTTATTGTTAAGTGCCATCAAGTCCATTGGAACCTATAGCAACCATGGGTAGTGTTTCCAAGGAATACCTGGTGAGCTTGAACCACCCACCCTATAGATCAAAGGACTTTGTAGTCTGATGCATTAGCCAAGAACCCCACACCAGGACTCCTTTAGTATGAATATGGAGTAAGCAAAATGCTGATGAGAATATAAATATGTGGGAAAGTATTGAAAAACAAGAAACTGAAACAGCATAGCTATTCTTGTGTTAGGGAATAGAGAAATAAATTGCAGTAAGTGTTATAAATGGCAATGCAAAAGTTAATTATAAAGTTATTATTAATGATTTCTATAACTTTCACTGACCCATTTGAGATAGGCAAACAAAAAACAAAATTAGCTTTACATAACAGTAAACTTTATTACAATTGGTTAAAACACACACATATTCACAGATTTTTAATGTGAATTTTTTCTTATGTAACAATTATATATGGAGGAGAACTTCTTGGGAAACTTGTCCAAATGAGGATTGAAATAATGAATAAGAGTGTTTATTTAATTCAAGATTTAATTATTAGAATTGTGTTGTCAATGGTTGTTGTTGTTTTTGTTAAGTGACCTCAAGTCAGTAGTGACCCATAACAACCCTTTATAGGGTTTCCGAGGAAAGGCTGGCGAGTTTGAACCACTGACCTTGCAATTTAAACTACTTTGCAGTCCAGTGCACTAACCCAGGTATACAGATAAACTTCAACTCTTAATAATTGGACACCTGGTTTGTCGCCACACATAGGACACTAGATATTAGAACAGTTGAAGTTTAGCTATATTTCTGTAAATCATAGAAATGATAACAAATTTTTCTCATTTTAAATTCCCTCCAATCCTGTAATAAATTTTTTCAACTGTACACTAATTTCAGGATTACAAAACAGTGATTATAAAAACCATCATTTAAGGGTATTGTGGACAAAATTATTTTCTTCAAGATGGAAACCATGAACTACATATTAGGGTATGCTTTCTTACAATGGATGCTATTGCTATCAGCTTCTACTCTATGAAACCTGTATATTCACATAACCACAAGATATTCATGTAATATCAGTGTCTGAATGCAGAAACCATCTGTTATAATTTTATCATTTGTCTCAGTAAGTGATTAATTATTTTAAACATTAAAACATAATTAAAACAGTTGTTCTATGGTAGCCTGTTTTACATGTTTTGCAGCTCCATATTTTCCATGGATACAAGACAGTAACCTCTATCTCAATACTGTGTACCTATTTTCTTTTTATCCCAAATATTAATTCACAGAATGGAAATTTTGAACTTTAAATCTATGATGAGAACTCTGAATAAATATTATAATGTGAACTAATACAAATATAGATGCAAGTACATGAATATATTAAGTATGTTTTCCTGTAATCCCTAAATTAATATTAGATTATATGGTCATTGATACATGTACTGAAATAAAGGATCTAAATTCAAGAATACAATGCAATAAACATGATACAATAAAAATTTATTCCACTGAAAGAAAAAAACACTTTTATAAAAACAAACACAAAAACAGTTTAGTTCAAAAAAATTAAGAACATCAGCTTTAAATATTGAGCTTGAAACAAAAGTTGTTAGTCCTAGTGTAGCTCTATAGAAAAGCACTCAGCAACAACAATATATGACCAAATTAACAATAAATTTATGACAAAGACAACAAGTTTGGGGTTAGTGAGTCAAAAATAACTCAGGAAAAAAAAACTAGAGCAGAAATGAAAAATGTTAAAACAATGAAAAATATATAGTCAATGTCATTAAACAAAACTTGCAGAAATTGCTGAATGACAGCAATACTTTCAAGCATATATTGCCAACAAAAATAATGTAACATAAAATAATCTACGGGATGATTTTTACTAGATAATCATGAGTCTTCATACAAACTTTGTCAAAAATGGAAGTAAGCATGAGAAAATTATTTACTGCCACAAATTTTCTTCACTTACGTCAACAAAGGGATTAGTAAAATAATACAACATATCTAATATTTAACACATATATATTTACAAAAAGTAAGTACAAGAAAAAATAATTCATTGTACTCGAGAACTTTTTCTTAAACTGATTATGCACTTCTCAGTTATATATAGCCAACCTTCTTTCTCAAATTGAAGAAATGTTTAATTTTTTTAAACTTTATCAGAATTTTAAGGTAAAAAATATGTATATTTAACTATTCCCTGTCCAAAAAAAAAAAAGAAGAACAAACACAAACACACACAAAAAACAGCTCTTTAGAGAACCTTGGAAAATCTATTAAACATTCTGCTGAGAGCACTTTTAATTTCCCTGTTCCTCATACTAAAGATGATAGGGTTTATTAAGGGGGACACCATGGAGTAGAACATAGTCGTGAGGAGGCTTCTAATAGTCGACGCATTTGAGATGGGGCCCAAATAAGCAAATAATCCAGATACTATAAACAAAATAAAAGTAGCTATTTGGGGGGAACAAGTGGATAAGGCTTTGTTTCTGGCTTCCAAAGATCGCATCTGGAGCACAGTAGAAAATATGTTAACGTATGAGGCAAATAAGATAACAAAGCAGAATAAAACAATGCAGGAACTTACTGCAAGGGCTACTGTTTCAGAAAGCTGAACAGACTTAGATGAGATGCTTAGGATTGGAGGGATGTCACAGAAAAATTGGTGGATCACATTGGATTTTGTGAAAGGAAGTCTGAATACGGTGCCTGTGTGGATTGCAGAATAGACCAGTCCACTGGCCCATGCGCCCCCTGAGATTTGTGTGCACACACATCGAGTGATAATGAGCTGATAATGCAGAGGGTGACAAATGGCAACATAGCGGTCATAAGACATGACCACAAGCAAAAAATACTCTGTGGATCCAAAAAATAGATACAGGAAAGTTTGAGTGACACACTCTCTGAGAGAAATTAATTTGCTGCCCGTTAGATTATTCACAATTGATTTAGGAACAGTTACTGAGATATAGCAAAAATCTAAAAATGATAAATTGCCTATAAAGAAGTACATTGGGGAATGAAGATATGAGTCTGTCATAATGACAGTAACAGTCAGAAGATTGCCAGCTATGGCTCCCAGATAAATCACTAAGAAAATTAAACCTTGCAGGACTTGGAGTTCTCGAGAGCTTGCAATATCCATAAGGAGAAATTCTGTGAAGATTGTGATGTTTCCCATACTTGCTCTTCTCTCTGGAGCCAAAGGATAAAATGGGGATTCCAACTATTGTCATACAAAATTAAAACTCTTAACACAACTTGGATTACTGCTCTTAAATACCTGTTCTTTATATTTGTTTCCTCCGATATGCATGCTTAAATAATATATAAAACAACAGATTCTGGAGAGCAAAAACAACATATACTAATAATATTGCATTAGTGCCAATATGTTCTAATCAATGTTTTCAATTATATTTATATATTAAAATAATAAACTTACAGTGAATGCATTCTCTTTCTTACTCTGACATTAGTATCTCTCTTAAACTCTCACTTATTTTGGCACTGTCCATAAGCACTGTACTGCAAGGATGGTTTGAAATACAAGGTCCAAACTCACCAGCTACTTCTGAGAAACACTATACGGGTTACAATGAGTCAGAACCAAAACAACGGCACTTAGCAACAACAACAACTATAAAATGAAGAACCTTGCATTTTTTAATCAATTCAATTAGCATTCCCTAGAAGAGACAGTTCTTCTTCACAGTGGCATATATTATCTAAACTGTTGAAGTAATATGTCTCATGACTGGTGAAATACTTGGTGATTACTATTTGGAGGACACCAGTATACTTATACCTCTGAATTCTCAAGAGCAACCAGTAATTGCAACTTCTAGAATAGATGTAGGCCCTACAGTGACTTGTGTACCATACATATTTTCACCTATCCATTGAGATTAATTAGATAATTTTATAGAGATAACATTAGAATAGGAGTTTCGCGAAATGGAAATCATACATTCCTCAAAGTGATTTTTGGCTCAGTGTTAGCTCAATGGCATTACAAAGTTCTTGTCACAGGATAATAGAATTATAACTTGTTCAGGAGGAAAATTATATATATATTACAAGACATAATAAATATATCTAATGTGTGTGTTATGATGACAAGGTAAAACAAGATTGATGTGGTCTCATCAGTCCAGTCTAAAACAAGTCATTCCAATTGAAGCAGCCACAAAGTACTGTCTAAATGATAAATGACAGTCAATAAACTTGAAAATCAACAATCAAAGAATGAATGAGGTGTAATATATATTACTAAACTTTATAAAGTCCCTTATCTAAAGCTTGGAACATTTGTTGACTGATGCATATGAAAGGATAGTAAAGACAGAGAACAAACAGACACAATTCTGAAATGATCATAGGAATTCTCATCAAAAAAATGAGTAGCAATGTTTTTATCATTGTTAGGTGCCATCGAGTCGGTACCGACCCAATATAAACTTATGCACAGCAGAACAAAATACTGCCCGATCCTAGGCCAACCTATTACTGTTGCCACACTTGAGTTCGTCGATGCTGCCACTTGGCCAATCCATCTCTTTGGGGATCTTCCTCTTTTTCTCTGACCTTAACAAACATGATATCCTTTTCAAGTGACTGGTCCTTCCTGACAATATATCCAAAGTATGAGAGACCAAGTTTGGTCATCTTGGCCTCTAAGGAGCACTCTGACTGTACTTCTTCCAAAACAGATCTATTGGTTCTTTTGGCAGCCTATGGCCCTTTCAATATTCTCCTCCAACACCATAACTCAAAGGCATCAATTCTTCTACCGTCTTCCTTATTTACTGTCCAGTTTTCACATGCATATGAGGTTATTGAAAATACCATAGCTTGGGTCAGGTGCACCTTTAAAAAGGTCTTGTGCGGCAGATTTACTTAATGCAATGTTGTTGTTGTTGTCAGGTGCCATCGAGTCGGAACC